CTATTTTCAATCGTCCTGTTGACTTGCTTCTTTGTGGATGGTATTTCATACAATGGTAGTTTAAAGGTAATACTTCTTTGCCAGTAGAAGTTCATTGGCAACCAATTTTTTAAAAATTACTGGCTAAATAGCTTTTATATTTGGAATTTAAAAAAAAAAAACGGTGCAATATATCCAAATGAGCAATAAGGGGTTTGCAACCAATTTTTTAAAAATTACTGGCTAAATAGCTTTTATATTTGGAATTTAAAAAAAAAAAAAACGGTGCAATATATCCAAATGAGCAATAAGGGGTTACTGTACTATTGTCTTCTAATTTTAAGTTACTAAATAGTATTTTAAAGAAATGTTTGTGTAATTAATATAAAATGGATTTATATACTATATAGTTTAAACGGTAGTGACATCTTTAGTTTCAATTTAGATGGCAGAAAGTAGTAGTAATACATAAATAAGTAGGAACATTGCAGTCATGTTAGGGCTGTGTTTTAAATGCATATAATTATTTTGTCAAACCTTACTTTGTAGAAGTAAAAAAAAAGCAATAAAGTTGACAGTCAGTCTCTAAATAGTTCTCAGAAATGAGGGGACTTAACCGGAAATTGGTTAGCCTTTAAAGATAAAAGTTTAAGTAAGCATGTGTAATAAAATGGCTTGGTGCACAGAAAATGAGTGGGAGAGATCTAAAAGTGTAGCATGCATTTACAGTACATATGAGGTTCCTAGACCAATATAGACATTTGCATAGGCCAACTGCTTGGGATTGACTGAAATTGTCAATAAAACATCAGACCTCAAACACGTCTCTGGTGATTATGATAGATGAATGTGTTGGTGGCACACACAAGAATTCCACATTTTTCTAAAGATACTCTTAGTTATTTAAACAATGGAAAACTGTTTGATAACAAATTAATAGCAGTACACTATATGTACAAAGCCCAAACAATTCATCAAGACTGAGTACTCTTTCTGGAGTTAAATATAATAAAGCAAAACGGCAAAACAACCACCAGATTACATCGTGCTTTTTTTCCGCATGATTATATTTAATTAATCACTAAATAATTTGTCACTAGAGGGAGGCATTAGGTGCCATCTATTGGCTTTGTGAGATTTGTTTATCTGTGTATCTGACTGGAGATGCCTTCAGCACCCTCGTCTTATAAACTCATACCATATATGAGGGCTTTTTTTTCAAGCTCCAGTGGTCCATAAAAAAAAGTGTTGCAGCCTGTGACTTGAGAAGGGCCTAACAGTTTTTTTTTTTGAAGACTGTCATTAGTCTTGAACCTCTGCCTTTCTAGCCACTTTTCTTGTTCAGGAAAGAGGTGGAAGTCACTCAGCACTAAATCAGGACTATACACTGGGTGTTTAAAGGTGGTGAAGACTTCCACCCAGCTTAAAACTTTTTAATGTATGAAGACTTCCACCTCTTTCCTGAACTGAAAACGTGGCTAGCAGGGCAGAAGTTTGAGACTAATGAACTAATGATGATCTTTAAAACAACGTTAAAGCCATCTCAATTCACTGGCTGCAACATTCTATGACAAGTGGATGAGCTTTTCCATCCCCAGATATGACAAATTCCTCAATCTTCACAGTGATTATTGTTGAAAAGTAACCATGTTTGTACCTAACTTTCGGTAATAAATTCATTTTGTTATTTACACTTGTTTTTTTTTTTATGGACCATCAGAACTTGAAAAAGAAAAAAACAGCATACGTACTAGGTTGAGCAATGGCTGGCTGAGTGCAATAAGTAGGAGTTTAAAGGACAAGGGTGCTGAAGGCATTCCATGTTGGTACCATATGTAATTGAGGATGGTTATATCATATTTAAATATGTCTGGAAGATGAGATCGGACTGGAGGCTCAGGTAGTGTAACTGGCAATGCATCTGCACTGTAAGCAGGAGTTGTAGGTTCGAGTCCCACTCTGGGCCAATTCTTTTCTTCCAGAATATTTAAATTATTTAATAAATATTAATTTAATTATAATATTAAATTTAATAAGATATGGCACCTAATGCCTCTCTCTAGTGACAAATTATTTAGTAATTAATTAAATATAAATGCAGAAAAGTAGCTCAATGTAATCCAGTGGTGTTTTGGTGATTTGGCTTTACAAATTTATTGGGTTTTGTGACGTTTGTGTATGTATGTATGTATGTATGTATATATATATATATAATAAACTTCCATGCTGTGGGAAGTGTGTCTGCATCTCTTCATTTACGCATAAGTCTCTTTCCTATAAATGTCCACTTTCTTCACAGTTACAATGTACATGGGTGACGTGATTCTTCAATTACCTTACTAGAGAAATAAAGCTTTCATATGCGATAAATTAAACTTTTTTTATTGCAAATTAAGCAGCATACTTTAATTATTCATAAATTACAAAATTAATTTTTTCTGATTCAAAAATGTTTGTGCAGTGAAGACATGCAGAGACAGTTTCCAAGCATGGAAATTTATTATATATAACTCCAGAAAGAGTATTTGGTCTTAATGAATTGTTTGGATTTTGTACATATAATGATATGTACAAAATCCAAACAATTCATTAAGACCAAATACTCTTTCTGGAGTTATACATAATAAATATAATTATTTATTTATTATTATTATTAACAGTAATAATAATAATTATTACTGTTATTAATTTGTTATTGGTAGGATTTTGTCCAGTTATATTAGTTTTACATAGAATATGTTATCTGTTAAGAGTTTCATCAACCAATTTGCATGTTGGAATGTTTTCCAAATTTAATGTTTTGATTTCTGATGGCCTATGAATAGGCCAAAAGTGTTAGTTTTTGCATTATTTCTGTTATTATTTTGCTGCTATTAAGTAGAAAAGCAGATTTAATAGGCTGATCTACATTAAATAAGTTTCAAAATGATGCACAGAACATAATGTAATTTATTCATAGATACCTTGACAAATTGGAAATAGATTTTACCTTAGCGTATTCTGTATACTGTATGTAGATTTGACATTTCTTTATTTCAGTTTGTCCTGTGATTTTATCTACATTTATTATGATTTTAAATTATATATAACATAGATTACTTCTTCTCCTTAAATCAGAAATGTAAAAATAGTGTTTCAATAGAGGATCTTTCATTAAAGTATTTTTATTACTATGAATCATAGTTTGGATTTGTCATGAAGATAGAAATAAAGTACAGTTAATATTGTTGATGTCAGTGTTGTCAGCATAAATTTTTTGCGAAGGAATTTTTTGGTTTGTGACTGTCTTATTAATCTTCATATTATTTTGAGCTTGTTTATGTGATTTTCAAATGTACAGTAAAAACTCCTCGATATAATAGACTTTGCATTATTACAGACAGCTGTTTTATTTACTTTATTTCCAAAAAATAATAGCAAAAAATAATGTAAAATTAATTTTTTAATGATAGATGTATATTTTAACATTACGTCTAGTTTGTTTCATCTTTTGATTAATTTTGGTTTTGTTTTCTGTATGTGAAGAGTCTTTGATTTGTTACATAAACAAAGCCAGGATCATAAAAGAAAATGAAAAGCTTTAGATTTATCAATAGATAGATATATTGCTTTTACAAGTTTAATAAAAATCAGGCTTGCATACTTTACAACTGAAATTTTTCCACAATATCAATACAATAATGGATGAGTTGATATTACTATATGCAGTAGAATCCCCATACTTTTATGGTAACAGATCTACTGAAATAATGTAAAAATATAATGATTTGGCGTGTGGACATGGAAAAAACGTCTGCAAATTGCAGGTATTTTCTCTAGGTTTGTTGTCGAGATCCATTTTAACACAATTATATTGTATAGTAATGGACTTTTCAATATAATGGAAAATCTGTAATAATGAATAGTCATGATAAAACAGACTTTCATTATAATGAACCAATCTCTTCAGTCTTTTGATGGTCTATTATATTGAGTTTACTGTAACTAAATACAGTAGAACCTCGATTATCCGGATTGTTCAAAATAAACAAAAATTTTACGAATTTGCTGATTTGCACTTGGCAAATTACGATACTGTTTATATACGTGATGGAATGCATAACTTTTTTTGTTTTAACGTCTCACCCGGCACAGTGGCCGTAAACTCTTAAATATGTTTTGCGTCATAATAAAAATATAACTTGACATACGTATTTATAAATAATTTTATTTTCAAATTACATCATTTCTATGACCAATGGCGGCGTAAGGCATGGGCAACGTGGGCCATTGCCTATGCCTCACGGTTCGAAGGACCTCACGTTTTGAAGGTTTATGCATTACTTAAAAGCCACGAATGCGACGAAAAAATTTTACTCGTCATAAAATGATAAATAGTTTGTCAAATTTTTATTCATAAAAATGCAGTTTCAACTGCTTTTTATTTTATAAAATCCGTCTTCTTGCTCCACCAGAGGGCCTTTTAAACAATAGGTAGTCTGTTAGCGCTGGTCAGTAGTAGTCCAAATTCAATACGAACATTTGTTTCTTGAAAATTTGATCACGATTTAAATACAGTATTTACTTTTAATATTACCGATATGTCATCGAAAAGAAAACGTGTTGTATTATCATTAAAAGACAAATTAAAGTATTTGTTTCGATTATCTGAATTTTTCCTTATCTGGACTACCTTCATCCCCAGTTAGTCCGGATAATCGAGGTTCTACTGTATTGACAATTCAAAAGATAAAATTTCTTGAAAAATTTCTGTCAGATCACATTAGTTCTAATTTGGAGGTTCAAATTAGGGCTGTTGTGGTTTTGATATATAAATAGATTAATACAAATTTTTATTTTATTAAAGAGGAAAATATAAAAATCAAATGGAGTTTCTAAAAAATCAATTCAAAATCGTGTAAAAAATCTGTGTAAAAACTGAATTGTATATATATCAAAAATGATAAAATCTTAATAATATCTTTACGTAACAAAGCAATGATAAAAGAAGTTTAATTGTATTTATTTATTTTTTTTAATAGGATGAACATACTTCTCCAAATGTGGAAAAAGATGCATGTTTACCTCCTCCACCAGAGACTTGTACAAATATACAGAATAGAACTGTAGAACCAGCTGGAAGTGCAGAGTTATATCCTCATGTATCTGTTATCACACCATTAAATGAAGATGATAGAAACTGTGAGGAAATAACTTCCGATAATAAGGACTACTGCAATGAGTCTTACGAGAATTGTGATGACATCGATTCAAGAGATCCTGCTGAGATGTGTGAAAGTACTTTAGAAGAAATTTCGGGAAATGAACCGTGGATCATAGTTGATTCAGTCGAAGATGATTCGGAGTCATTTGAGAACAGTTCGGAATGTAGAGATCAAAGCGTGCACAATGAATCTTTTCAGGCCAGTAAAAGTGACAAAGAAGAAAATGAAAATTTATCTTGCCCCCGTGAATCCAGTCCATGTTTAATTACTATAAGTGAAGTTAGACAAAATGAACCTTGGTTGAGTGATGATAGTGGAAGTAATATTGGAAAAAATGGTTTACCAAAGGAGGAATTTATTCTCTCGGAAACCACTTGTAAGACAATTCAGGAGGAAGAAGAACCAGAAGAACCAGTTTGCAGTTCTGAAGCCACAGCAGAATTCAAAACTGATTCAGCAGAAGGTTGCTTAGTAAATCCTGTTAATTGTGTTAATGAAAATGAAAATAAAAATATAGTGCAATCAAGCCCAGTAACTGAGACAGAAATAAATAATGAAAACGTGCTTAGCGAAGACGGCAACGAAAATAATCAAACAGAGACACTTACCGATGAAAAATGTAACCAAGACGATTTAAAACAAAGTCACGAAGAGCCAATGGACATAAGTGAAATAAAAGAGACTTGCAAAGAGTCAGTGGAAATGAGTGATGCAAAACAAATTCTTGAAGAATTAGAAATTAGCAACGTAAAACAGAGTGGTGACGAATCGGTAGAAGCAGAAAGTATAGAACGAAATTGTGAAGAGTCGGTTGAAGAAAGTGATGCAAAACAAAATTGTAAAGAGTCAGTAGATATTAGTAGTGAAAAACAGAGTTGTGAAGAGTTAATGGAAGTAAGTAGTGTAGAACAAAATTTTAATGAAGAACCAATGGAAGTAGAAAATACAAGGCCAGAAAATGACAGCGACAGTGTAGAAACCAAAGAAAATAAATCTGAAAATGCAGAATGTGGACAAAAAGTGGATAAAGAAGTCGTGTCAGAATGTGAAGAGGAGAAAATAAATTCGATAGAATCTTCAAACGAAGACTGTACTTTAGAAAAAAGCAAAGACAGCAGTTCTGATAAAAAGGTATAAATTTATGTTATGTATTTTTTAAATTTAAATAAATTAAATTAGAATTATTCATTTTTTTAAGGAAATTTACAGTTTAAATGAAACAAAAATTCTGAATTTTTAAAAAGAAAGGAAGAAAATTTGTTTTCAGTTATTGCTGACATATTTTAGATTATTATAATTTGGTTGTAGCTTTATTAGAACAAAAAATCAGCAGATTGACTTTAATTTAAAGTTATTTCCATGTTCAGTAAGACCCCACTTAACACAGTGGGTGTATTCCTAGAGACAAAGCGCTAAGCGAAACAGCGTTAAATAAAGTCATTTTAACATAGAATAAATAGGGAAAGGGAAACACGTGACTACAAATAAACAAGTTTTACTATAATTTTAAGTTATTTTTATATTAATTTGCATAATAATATATGTTAAATAACATGTAAACATATGCATATGCACACAGAAATGTAAAGTTTGTATTTTGTGATGAAGGTCCTGGTTTTCTGAAATTCTTGTTTTTTGTGATAAAGTTGTGTAGTTTCATTTGTCACATTTTTTTCTTTCCTCAAGCAAATGTCGGTAGCAGAAGATTGCATCCAAAAATGCCTCATTTTGCTTTTGCACTCCTTTAAAAATCTGGATCATTTGTTACAATTTGATCAATGATTTCGGTTATCATTACCAAACTTTTACTAAGGAAATTTGTAGAGAAATTCTTTGGGGTTCTTTGTTTTTGGAGTCACAATTTTCCAGTTATACATGAATTTCTTGTTTTGCCAGTTCTTGGAGGTTGTTGTTGGTAAGGCTCTCACCAGAAACCTGCAGTAACTCCCCAATAGCCTGCTCGTCTACATCTCCTAGTCCTGCTGTTTTGATTAGGTTCACAATTTGGTCAACCTAACAATACAGCGATAGGCTCTTTTCGTTGAGAATTCTTGGATACTTCCAACCATAACTTCTTCCACACTCTGTTCATGCATTTATCAGTTAATTCTTGCCAAGCAAAGTCGATATTTCCTATAGCATGCATGATGTTATATTTTTAATTGCACAAAACAAACATAGATTTAAGGAAAGTACAGCACTATGATAAATTGCCACTTTTTGCAAATTGGTTTGGGAATAACCATATTATATATGAATCAATGAAATGCCACGTTAATTTGAATCAGTGTAAATTTTGAGCATTTTTAAGGCTTTGACCAGACTGCATTATATTGAATCAGTGTTAATCAAGGCAGCATTAAGCAGGGTCTTAATGTACATTCATTCCCTGGTATGTGCAGATTGGTTCTGGGACTTGCATATGCTAAAGTCTCTTATATAAAATGTCATAGTGCATATGATATACATATTCCCCACATCTTTTATCCTCCTGTAAACTTTAAATCATTTCTGGATTATTTAGAATACTTAATAGAATGTAATTGCTATGTAGATAATTGTTTTACTATATTGTTTAAGGAATAATGTTTTGCAGATGCCACTATTATAGACTTAATTACAAAGTACACATCAGTAATGATGTAACATTTTCTTTTTTTGGAACATTTCGGAATTTTTTAAAATATTTCCAATTTGCAGTTGGTTTAATCTGCAGATGCAGAGGGCTGACTGTATTAGATACGTTTTGAATTCCTACAGTTAAGATGGTTTTCACATCACTAGATAGCAAAGCATTTGTCTGCCTTTTTGAGAGAGAGTTACGAAGACTCATCATTGATTTAGAGCATGAAGAATTTCATTTGGATGGTCTGATCCAGAGACGTTTGATCCTATTCTTCATTTTCTGACTAACCCAAATGCAGATCACATCTATTACAATGGGCAAAAATAAAACAAATCATGTAACTCGTAGAAAGTTAGTGCCTTGTTCCATCAAATAAATTCTTTATCATTGCACTTATAAATATGATATAGTTACATGAACTTGGTATAATTAATTTTTCACATAATTTGCTGCAAAGTCTTTGCTTTGTATCAGTTTTATGAAACTTTCTAGTCAAGTGAAAATACTAAAGTTCAGCTTTAGCCTTTTTACTTGACAAGAAGGTCTTATCCTGATATTTTAATTTTGTCTTTAGTGCCATGTTTTCTCAATTCTGATGTACCATTGAATCTAACATGCACCCAGTTTTCAAGATGTAAAAATCTGAAAAGTTAGCTTGCAAATGTAGTGCAGCCGAAAAAAGTTCATTCATTTAAACAGTAATAATTGTATTTTTTGAAAAAGTATTTTATATTCGTGTTTATGGTTCTTCACAATGCCCACATTTTCGAATGTATTCTTTTATCAGGTATAGAGGATATGTGGACCAATCAAAATTGCTGTACAGTTAACAATTTAACAAGATTTTATAAAGAAAATCTTCACCAACATTTATATGATAAATAAACTGATACATTAAGAACACAACACATAAGAAACCATTGCTACACTTGAGTGCCTGACTTACTTGCTTCGTGAAATTTTAATACAAAGACTGCTTTCTCTGCATCAGTGTAGCCTGCCGTTTTCTCAGACATGATTGACGCAAGCACCATTTCTGGAAAAATGTGTGTTACCAATACTGAATATAAAATAATATTTTACAATAAACCTGTTATCCTTTTGTTATTTTCATCACAGTAATTTCCTGAACTTATTTACCATATTATGAAACATCCTTTATATTTAAAACGTTGTTACTATGCTTATATTGCTTTTTGTGCTTTTATATATAAAAGTAAGTAATATATCGTTAGCTATTATTACTTTACTTTATAATAATTTCAAAAAACTGTAAATTGATGAAGAAATTTTGAATTAATTAACTGTATTAATAAATTACATTTTTTAGATCTCGGAAACTGCAGAGAATAAAAATCACTCAAAAGAAAAAGTAAGCCAAGAAATAAATTTTGAAGAGAAAGATTCGTCTGCAATAAATGAAGAAGAGAAAAAAAAGGAAAGTGAAGCTGAAATAAAAGTAAGAAAAATTATGTTGTTGTTCATTTACTTGCATTTTATTGCTGTTGGAATATTAAACCACAGATCTACAGGTTAGGTTTATTCATAGTTTTGTGATATGCAAAGTCTCGGGGCAGTTAAGGCATCGCCTACATCTCTTGGGACCAGGTGTCAAATCCAGGCAGCCAAAATACTAGGAATTTTTTAGAGAGTGGTCTGTCTTGGGTATGTCTGTCCTCCTTTCCTTGCTGCCTAGCGGAACCTACAATTGGCTTGAATAAAAAGACCCATTTAGTGCCCACAAGGCAGACAGAGTTTAAAAAAAAAAAAAAAAACTCTTATAGGGAAAAAGAGCATATGCAACTTTGTATTTATATTAATACTTAGAATTATTACAAAATTTAAGTTAAAACTTCTAATTCTCATTTGAAGTGTAATGAAATAAAGTATTTAAAAGCACTGATGAGTTTTTTCACAGTAGACTTTTAAAAATAATGAAAAATAAGATTAAAAATTTGTATTGCATTACTTACGTTAAAACATCAGTTTTCTAATTTGAGTTTTATTTCTCTTCTTTGTTCAGTTGATTAGGTCGTCACTTTAACATTTTAAATTAAGAATTTGGCTTTATTTAACAAGTAGTAATAAAATGAAAATTTGCTTGTAGCTGAACGCTTTTTTTGTTGCATTTTTTTATACAGTAGAACTTGGATAATTTGAGTATTTCCTCCAAACCCTTGAATTTCCTACAGAAGTAATGTAAAAATACTATTTTAATTTGGACCTTTTTTTTCTGTTAATTCAAAATAAAATTGTGAAAAATTTATGAAAATCAGTTGCATTATTAAGATAAAATGTGTTCAGGCACTAATGTTAGTAATGTTAATTGGGAAATTGCAGAATATAGTATTCAGTGTGTTTCTTAGCTTCAACCCATTTAAAAATTTGTTTTTTTTAGCTTTAACCGGTTTGTTGAGAGAGAGAGGAAAATGCAAGCGAAGCAGGCTTTTGGGCCTTCAATAAATTTGAAGAATTAGCTTTTAACAAGCAGAATACATTTATATTTTAAAAAATCCAAGATTTTTAAGAAATTAATTGGCAAAAGTACTTCCGTAACATTAAAAATTTGTAATGCAAAACAGTACTTGTACCTATATATAAACATCAACTCACAGCCCGAGTAGATAATAACAACACCAAACGATCGCCTAATTATCGCGCTATAATATGGCTATTTTAAATGATTGGAACTAAGTAATTTGACAATTAGAGGTAGGCGTTAGGCGTCATCTCTTAATTAAANTGTTCTAAATTTATTTATTTAATTATTATTTATTTAATTATTAATTTAATTAAGAGATGGCGCCTAACGCCTACCTCTAATTGTCAAATTACTTAGTTCCAATCATTTAAAATAGCCATATTATAGCCCGATAATTAGGCGATCGTTTGGTGTTGTTAGTACTTGTACCATATTGTATTAAATTGTTTGTTAGTTTACAGTATTGTATTTTATTTAACATATATTTTTAATGTCAATATTCAAATTTTTGAATAATTCAAATTTTTTTATGGTCTCTTCAATATTGAATTATCCAAGTTCTACTGTATATACTGTATAGAAAATTGTGAAAGATAATACATTTCTAACAGAGAATATATTTTTACCGTGTCTAAATGATAAAAAAAAATTAAATTCGTTTACAATAAACTGTGCAAATATGTACATATATAAGTGAAAATGCTTAAATTGATATTCTACTTAATAAAAAAATATTTTTTGACTACTTAAATTGTCATATTACTACTTTAAAAAACTCCTATATTAACATTTATATCAACAATTGCTTGTTGTAATAAGTAAACAAAGTATAAAAGGAATTTCTTTGGCACGGCTAGAAGCAACACCCCCTATAGGAGCGGTAAATGTGTTAAGAACTATTGGAACAATTATCCACATTATTATAAATTTAAATATAAATCTATTTTATTAACTAGAATGGTAAAATTATACACATTAAACTTAGAGTTAATTTTGTTATATTTCAGGGTTATATAACAGATACCATGAATGAACTACTTGGATTGTTTGGTTATGATAATGTAGACGAAAGCATGAAGGATAACTTAAAACTTGAAAAGATCAGTTCTTCCATATCAGGAAGTAAGCTTTTTTTAATTATATAATTTTGTATTTGTAGATTTATAGCTATGATCAAGTCTGAATCTATAGAGATAGTTAGATAGCTTTATATTATTGAACTTTTATTTAATTGATTAAAAATAATTTAACGAAAAATAGTGCGTAATATATAAATTATTTAGTGTGAATTTTAATTACTTAGTTTCTGTTATTTATTGTCTTTTTTTATTTTCAATATTACTCTTTTATTTTCACTTATAAATCTTTAAAGTAATTTTTAATAAATTTTATGTGTTAAAATAAATTCTCTTATGGAGAAATATGATAGTTTCAAATTTTCTTTATTAGAAAAAACACCAGAACTTTCTGACCAAGCATCTTCCAAATCGGTTGAACCTGTCAAGAAAGATTCTTCAAGTCGTGTTTGTACCGAATGCCATGCGGTATGTTTTATCTAATGCATATTTATGAATTTTATTTCCATGTGGCTTTGAGAAATAGCTGTCACAATCAAAATTATCTTACATTTATTGGAACATCAAAGAGAAGAGTGCTTCCTGATCAAATCAGTGTGAAAAAATTACAAAGCTGCCAATATTTCAACTTACTCTTTTAGAAAAATTAATAAAAGACATGACAAACTTTATTTTCTGTATTAAGTTATACCAGAAACCAAGTTTCACTTTTATCTGCAGATTGTTCTACTGCCAGCTGCAAGAGAGATTTATGAACAAATTTATCAGATGTTTAAATGTTTAATTCAATTTTTTTTGTTTTGTTTTCTATAATGAATACTGCATTTTCTGTTTTCTGCAGTGCAGAGGCTAAAACTCAATTAGGTTTAAATTAATTAAATAATGAATTAAATACTTCCCTGAAAACTGAACTTGCCTTAACCACAGTACTATTACTCAAACCTTTGAAATGCAGTACAATTTTTATTGTCAAATGCTTTTGATCATCTTAAACAATCTACTTCAGGACAGAAAGAAACACATTTCAATTTAAAAAGAAGATTGAAAGCTGGAATGTCCTCTGGAACAAATTGTTTTTGATTATTAATGTTTTAGAACAATGAAAACATAAATGTGCATGTTGGGCCTTTACTCAAATCAAAATTTAAATCTATGTAGAAATCCAACATGTGTATATAAGTTTTTATTGTTATAAAACGTTATTTTAGTGTGTTTGTTTTTGGTTTTGATTTGTGTATTTTATTTATATAGGTTATTTAAAATGATTGAGAACATTTGAAAATAAAAACAGTACTGTATTTTAAAGGTTTGAGTAATAATAATGAATTAAGTATATAGAGGGTTTACTATATACTGCTAACTTGAACCAATTTTTTTTTTATTTTTCAAAAAATTGTACAGTAATTTTAAATTTCTTGACAATAGACAAAGTTTAAGTTTTTTTATAGCTGTATACAAAATTAAAAACCTTCAGCTAGATCTAACTGCAAAATACAGTAGTTAAATTGGCAACATGGAATTTGCTATTGACTCAGCCACTGTACTGAGTAAATATATACAGATATCCCTTGTATAACACTGTAGATATGTTCTGAAAAAGTGTCATATTATGTGAATTCATGCTATATGAAACAAAGGAGTAATGCAAAACAGGATTAGGTTGTAAAAATTAACAAAAGTATAATTATCTTTTTTACTGAGAGAGAAATATTTATTAAAGCAATCAATAATTAATTTGTGAAACGAGGGCATTTTCTTTTTACAAAGTATAATTTTCTTCTGAGCCATTTTGTTGATTTTGATCAGAAATATCAGCAACATCTTCGTTGTTTTATTTTTATCATAAAAAATTTTTATGGATGGTAAAATAAAAATACGTTATTAATCGAAAATTTGTTTTAGTGGGTCACATTTGTTTAGTTGAGTACCAATTTTTTTTCTTCAGAATTTGTGTTTGAATACCAAATTGTTCGAGTACCAAGATACTACTGTATTTTGTTTGTCATCTTTACGAATGATTACTTGCCTATTGTTAAAAGAAAGTTTAATGACATTTGGCTAAAAATGTTTCAATAAATTTTAGTAAATATGAAGATTAATCTGTACATATTAATTCTGTATTTTATATTTTAATCCAATTTATTTTTTAGTGTTATTCCTTTACATATCATTATATTTTTGTAATTTTTATACATTTATATGTAATTTAAATTCCATGCACCTGCAAGACAATCAATTTGAAAAAATATTAGTTGCTTATTCAGATTCTATTCCTTGAATTTAAATGTTTTGTTTTCTNTCTCAGTAAATTATCATCTATTAACATCCCCTTTATTTGAAATTTGAGAGGAAGGTGTTATTTTTGAGGTCGGTAGATAGTAAGTGTAGCCCACACTAACTTCTACTATTAATATCAACAACCCGTTAATTGTTATATTGTCCTGTAAATTAAAACTCTTCCTGATTTTAAGTCAGTCAAATTATCATGTTATTATTTTATTGTATTGGAAAGAATGTTTTCTTTAACAACTAGTTTTGTTATATCTGATAAACTGCAACTAAAAAATAAAATTAAACTGCCATATCAGTAACCCTGGGGTTTCCAGTAGGCTGGTCTCCTCAGTTACATACAGTATGCCGGTTCCGCAAAAATACAGTATAAACATGCTACAGTCTAACGTATATCAATATTTGGCTTAAATCTTGCTAATTAGAAGTTATTTTATTACATTTTTTCCAAATACTCTATACAGGGTCTTACAAAAGGAATGCTACAATTTTAAATTACTGTAATTATACTAATTATTACTTGAGAAGTATGCATTGTAAATTGATTGATAGAGTGAGTGAGTTTTATCTACCATCTGCATCCAGAAATGGCAACTTTGCAACAGAGATGGTGGAATGGAGTTGCCATTTTTGTTTATGGTACTTCCTAGAGGCAACAGACAAAATGACATTTGAATATAGGTGGTATATGAAACTTGGACAGTTACTTTAGCAGTTGGTGTATGTTTCATACTTCTTGTTTAATAATTAATATAATTACAGTAATTTAAAATGGTAGCATTCTTTTTGGAAGACCCTGTATATATGTACAGATTTACTTTTGGCCAAATCATTCTATTAATTATCAAGGAATTAGTTAATCTGCAATTTTATATGGGTTATGTTTCATATTTTTCACAGTGTATTTTTAAAAATGATACAGTTTTGTATAGTAATGTAACTTATTTGTTAATGTTTATATTATTATTATTATATTTTTTAAATAAAAAATTATAGGATTAATAATATTAATTTAATTTTTACTGAATTCCAAAATGCTGATTTTTAAATTTTATTTGGCTTACAGATGATAATACACAGCCCAGTGGAAAACCAATTATTATTCCTGTTCCGTTGCCAATATTTGTTCCGGCACCGCTTCATATGTTTAACCGTCCCGTGCCAACACCTATGCCCTTTCCATTGCCAATTCCGGTTCCAGTGTTTATTCCGACGACAAAAACATCCTCATCTGAAATCTTAAAGCATATCAAAGAAATTCAGGTATTTATTTTACTTCATAAAAAAATCAATGAAAATTTACAATTATAAGAATTTTGTTAAAACTTTGTTGAATGAATTTTTGAAATATTTTTATATTTTGAAGGAAAAAATACCATCTAATCCGTACGAAGCAGATTTACTCATGATGGCCGAAATGGTGGCAGCAGACGGACAAAAAACACCAAAAGAAGGAAGTAAGTATAATATTTTGACACTTTCAAAACATAGAAATTAAACTTTGATAGATGTACAAATGATTTTCAACTTTTATAGAAATTTAGTAAAAAATTATGAAGTGTCCATATACATGGTGGACATAATTAAAGTTTCTTTATTTAGAGCCCTATGCAGCTGGAACCAATAAGCAGATAAATGCCAAAATTTATATACAGAATATGCAAATGATGCAGAAAGTTTTAAAATTTAGTTAAAAAAACAGGAAGTTAGGAGGAAAAATCTTGTTTTTTCTTGTAAAGTACCAATATTGAACTAAACTGTATTCTTTATCATGGAAATGTTGCAACTTTGGCAGTTTTAGTTTACCTTACTTTTATTCGATTATAGTAATGCAGTACGGGACAATCTGCAGAGAAGGGAAATGTCTCCCAGGCAATCTTTTATGGGAAATTGGCCCCTATTTAGGTGTTACTAACATAAAGAAAACCCGGAAAATCCACACAACCAGAATGTTGGCAAGGCACAAATCCACGGCCAACTACCAGTGTTCAGTGGTTTTATCCACTCAGCCACTGGTGGGCTGCAACTTTGGAAGACTTAAAGGATTGTATTACACTGCAGATAAGAAGCATCACCAGAGAGCTGTTGCGGTCAACTCTAGAAACATACTGTTCATCCCATCATTCAAGTGTGATATTTGAAGGCCATTGCCTTCAAATATCACACCTGAATAATGGGGCACACATTGAGCAATTCTCCTTGCATCAGTAAATGGCCACTGTAGAAAGCATTTTTAATACAGAACCAATAAATTTTTTCCATTATGTTTTTGCTGTTTTGTTTTGTGTATTGATAGCATTGTGTATAGTTGTATATAATGCTATTAATGTACAGTATAACTGTTTTAGATCAATAGAAGTATCAGAAATGAAGCTTTTTGTTTAGTCTCAAGTGGCTTCTCATAGATATTCAGCCACCACTTGTATTATTTTCATGTGGTTAATAACCACCACATGGTTAATAATTATCTTAGGAAAATTTTTATTCCATTTGTCTAAATTCAAATATTAAGAGATGCCATCTCTAATAAAATTTGTGTATTCAAAAAATATCATATACTCTAAAAGTTTACTATTTAAAAGATATAATTTTTATATTAATTTATAATAATAATAATTTCAGGCCCAGTAAAAAAGTCTGTTGGTGATCAACTGGAGTCGTTTAATTCCATTGATACAAAAGATGCAAACGAATCATTTGAGATGAAGGAGTCTCCTATGGATCAGGAAAATGCCATTGTTTCCTCAGGCTTAGGTTAGATTAAAAATATCATCTTTGTAATTTATCATAAATTTAAATATGTAATATTGGATAGCTTCTATTAAAATAGGAATAAACTTATTTATAAGTGAAACTGACACAAACAATGGTTTAACAAATAAAATAAAAAAGAGTAAGATTTTCAAATTGAATGACTTTAGTGTATTTCTTGCAAAAAATTTGATGCTATAACATTTTTTACATTGGAACAGATGTTAGTTCTTTATTAGTGCCTATTTATGTTGAAATATGAATTCAAATCTTACTTTTTTAAGAAAAAAATGCACTATTTTACAGTGAATTTATCTTTAGATATTTGTTATTTTAATATAAGGATTTATTAATAAATAATCAACTAAAAGCAACAGCATGACTAGTTGTCCCTGCTGGTTATTTATTGATATGCCCTTATATCAAGCAGTGAGTGTGATTTAGAAAACAGTAATATCTATTTATTTATAAATTCATATCATGAATTTTAAGTTAAGGCTACTTTAATTTGCTTATTTAATAATCTTTCTAGTTTTCCAAAATTAATTTCACTTCTAGACTTGTGAAAATGCTGTATGGCTTATTATTATTAGTTTTTCTCATATACATGTAAGAATGTCGTAAAAAAAATTGAATAGTAATTAAGACTTTCTTAACTACAGTAATTAGTTAAGTCCTGTTGTAGACTAGACTACTACTCTCATTAGTTTAATATATGTTATATACATCTCCACTTTGTGTATTAGAAAACTTTTTGAAGACTTATTGTATAAAATATGTTTTATATTACACTATAGTTAGGCTCCTGAAGATGTGTGCTTATATTAAAATGGCATGAAACCTTCCGAACAGAGAGAAAACTGAGTCAATATAATTTGTTACAGTACTTTGATGACAATTTTAACATTTAACTGAAAGTTTTGGCATTAAAGTTGTTGTTATTGATTTCATTCATATAATAAGCAAGTTTTGCAAAATATCTACAGAATTGAAATATTAGACAATATTCCAATAATCATACCATTACTACTTTATGTTAAAAGATCATAAAGTTAGTGTTTTGATTTTAAAATTGTAATTAATAATTTATGTCCGTAGGAGGTTAGATATTGTTTTTTTCTTTATACATGTTTATTCATTTACCTAATGTATTTTTGTCTCCCAGCCAGAGCTCTGACTGGTCTCAAAACTGGATTAAAAGGAGGAAGGTTGTTGAAAAGGCATGTGGCCATAAAATGAAATTAAATTTGGAAAAATTTTGAGATTAATAATACTGAAGAAGAACAAATGTATTTCTGATCAATGGATTGATGTGTGTTGTCAATTATTTTTAATATAAAAATAAGTATAGAATATTTATGTTAGTTTTATATGTGATCTTTGAAAAGAATGTTACCATTTTAAATTATTGTAATTATGTTAATTATTATCTGAGAATATCGTAATATACATTAAAACATTGGAAAATGATTCAAGTTTCACATTGCCCACTAGTTTTTCATCGTGTGCACTTGGTTTTAAGTGGTACACATCCAACCGATATACAAATTCTTTCTACATTTGCAGTAGCATATCCATTGTCAATCTTCCACAATTCTACAATTCATGGTTCCTGCAGATTACTCATGTTGCACGATGATGAACGATTCAGAGTTCTAAAACTGCAGAATGTTAAATGCCTTCTCCATTATGGAGTTGCCATTTTTATTTACAGCAATTCCAAGAGGCAGTATATTACATGTTTGACTTTTGTCTCCCATCTGCAATCAGATGATTACTCTGTCAATCAGTGTACATCACATACTTCTTGGATAATAATTAATGTAATTACAGTTATTTAAAATGATGGCATTGTTTTTGGAAGACACTGTATATGGATGTATATTTATTATTTGTTTGATATTGTTTCAGAGCAAGAAACTTCGGGTCAAGATGAGTTATCTTCTCCAGAGAAAAGTGAATCTCGTGCTCGATTACGAAATACAAAACGAACCAAAAGCAGAGGCGGCAGGGGGAGAGGAAGAAAAAAGACAAGACTAGATGGCGATTTTTCGGCTTCTGATACAGCTATGGAAGATTCTGTTTCTACTCAATTATCTACTGTAAATGAAAGTCTAGATGAGCCTGAACATTGCTTAAAGGTATTGAAATTGTTTTATACTTAATTATATATGTTGTAGATGGATTTTAGCAAATAAAAGATATTTCAATTAAAGTAGTAATGAGTGTAATTATTATTTAAAATTGTTAAAAATAAATTGATTTATAATGTAATGCATTCTAAGCTGTTACTGTAATCCTTGCCTGTTACATGAGATGGTCACTTAAGAAAATAAATTTTAGTTATTTTTATCCCAAAAATCATTATTTTTACAGACATGATAGTTTTTTTGCGGGTAAAAATTTAATCATTGACGCTTCGGATATGATTGAATAGTTAATAATGTAGAATTCACGAAGTGCTACAGCTAGAACTTTTAGAAAGCATTAAAATCGTAAATAGTAAATGATATTAAGTAATTGCAGGTGTTCAAATTTCAGTACACATTTGGAGTTAATGCTTGGAAACATTGGGTATTAGAGAAAAATTCTCAGCTCGAAAAAGGTTCACAGTCATTAAGAAAATTAAAACTTTTTAAGACCGATATTCTACAGTTGTCACCCGATGAATTGAATTATTCTCTGTGCCTCTTTGTTAAAGAAGTACGCAAGCCCCAGGGTGACGAGTATGCTCCCGATAGTATATATTATTTATGCTTAGGTAAGAATTCTGTTTTGTATATTTCAAAAATTATAAAATTTGTCAATATTAAAAACCTAAAAATCTCCACTTTTCAGGTATTCAGCAATACTTATTTGAGAATAATAGGATTGATAATATCTTCACAGATCCTTATTATGAAAAATTTACTGAATGTTTGAATGATGTACTTCAAAAATACGATTCTGTAAATAATGAAGGTAAAGTTTAAATTAACATTACTACGAAAAATTGTAAAAAAATTATAATTTGTAAAATAGTGTCTGTGCATTTTCCTTCATAGTTCATTTTATTTCAAGAATTGAAGAAGAAATACTGTGGGAAGCCAAGCAGCTTGGAGCTCATTCTCCTCACGTTCTTCTTAATACATTGATGTATTTCAATACAAAATATTTCTTTCTGAAGACAATTGAGGATCACATGCAGCTGTCGTTCTGCCATATTATGAAACACTGGAAAAAATCATCAGTAAAAGGTAGCACAGTAAGAACGGTGCTGTTAAGATACTATCCACCGATATCCAAGGGTATTTACTTGGTGATCTGGTTAAAATTTTTCATTTTATTGTAGATTTTTTGTGATTAAGTTTGTTAAATTACTCGACAGAAACGGCCAAAAAGCAGCAGCGTCGCGAAGAGCAGCCCATCTTTGAACAGCTAGAGAATGTAGACAATCCGCTTCGTTGTCCTGTGAAATTATATGAATTTTATATGTCAAAATGGTATTTTTTTTTAATTCAAAACAAAAAAATTATTTTTAAAAATAATAATTTCACTGATACATCTTTTTCTTCTCAGTCCAGAGAGTGTAAAGACAAGAAATGATGTGTTTTACTTATATCCAGAAAGATCGTGCGTTCCAGATAGTCCAGTTTGGTATTCTACGCAGCCATTGGGAAGAGAGTCTGTGTCCAAGATGCTGCAGAGAATAAGGATGGTGCGTGAAATCCACGAAATAGATGATGACCAAAAAGGATGAACGGAAGATATAAATAAATGAAAAATATAT